CATATCTATTTATCCGATTAATACATCTATTTATTTATTATATAACTTATTCATATATATATATCTTTAAAATAAAACCATCTAAGGTATTCCTTGAGGGCTAGTACTTTAGACTTTATTCACTGCTATTTCGTGATAATTAATAGCTTTTTTTTTTGTTAAAATTTATGAAGTTTTAGATATACAGCATATATTAGATCGAATTATAGTTTAACAATAAATAAAATGTATAAATATAATAAACTTATCTTTTTTAAAAAGAATTAACCAATTCGTCATGTAAATTCATAGAGTCACTTTCTTTGTATGCGCGTAAAGTTTTAGGTCCAGTGGAAGCAGTTCCATACACCCCAGATGCATTAGATCCGAAGACAGTTTCAGTTGAATTCCCTAAAGCCATTGTATCATCGGTATGACTTCGCCATTCAGGAAGAGGTGGCCCAGATATAGGTAAATTTTCATAAGTATGTTGCCAAAGAGTGTCTGGATTCGATCTTTCTGTTGAAATCTGTGGAGGGGCAGAACTATAAACGTGAATATTATATTGATCAGCTCCAGCAGATTTAGGTAACGTCTGATTCAAGTGTCATATAAAATCTTGTTTGTGTGAGAAAGTTGAGTTTTTTTGTGAGGAGGCAGATCTTTCTGAAGTAGAGAGGTGTTTGATAGAATCAAAAAAACCTAGCCCTGATGTATGTCGCATATCATTTCCACTTCGAAGTGATCGAATTACTCTAGTAATATTTGCTAAATGTGCATTAGAAAATGTATCAGTAATTAAGCTATTTTGTATCGTTTTCTCTGGATAAATGGCCGGTAGCACCCTCTTAGTTGGATAGGATTTTTGTAGAGAAGTACTTATGTTTCGATTCTGCCTCTCTTGTTATTGTCTATAAAGAAATTCCAAATAGGTAGGTAAAATTGGTCTTCGAAATACTCCAGTATGGGATGTTATATCTTGCAATGATAAATGCCTTTCCTGTTCTTCATGTTACATCTCACTTATTGTGTAGGGGTCTGAAGTGAGAATTGATTTCTGAAATGTCCCAGTATGGGATGTTATATCTTGCAATGTTAAATGCCTCTCCTGTTCTTCACGCTACATTCCGTTCACTGGGTAAGGATCTGAAGCAAAAATTGGTCTCCAGAATGTCTCAGCATAGGATGTTATATCTTGTAACGATAGATGTCTTTGCTGCTCTTCACGTTGTATTTCACTTATTAGGTAAGGATCTGAAGAAGGGGTAAGCCCTCTATTATTTGTAGAAATAGATTTTTCAAAACCGGATGGCAAAACTAATCGTTGATCCCCCTTTTGTTCTTTAGAGTGTATATCTGTCATAGGCATGAGTGAAGCCCCTCCTAGTTTAGTTAACTGAGAATTTTTATTTTGGCCAAACTCAGTTTTCAGCTTGAAATATTCTCTTAGTAGCTAAAACCATATGCATATCAAATAGAATGCATTTTGATCCACTAGCATCTTGCTGAAGATTCCACAAATGATCAGACTTCTGCAACATTATGTTTCTGTCTTTTGAGGAGGTAGTATGTAAACCCATTGTATTGTTATATTGCTGAAGATTCCACGATTGATCTGGCTTCTGTAGCATAATATTCCTATCTTTCAAGGAGGTAGTATACGAATCGTGCGCCTTGCCATATTTTTGTACAGGCAATTCAGTGTTCCCCATAACTAGGGTTGTTAATAGAACATAATGGGTTGGGTTGGGTTCATATTATAGCGGAGCAATGGTCAACCCAACCCAACC